TTGTCATGTTATATAAAACTGTTATACCGGGAAACAACACGGTTATTTGTTCAGAATCCTAGTTTTGGTAAAATATTGTATTTTTTCTCATTGAAAAAACTGTTATACTCAATTCTAAGTTCTTATAATGAAGAGAATTCTTCTATTCCCTTGCAATAAAAATTAATGAGTAAATTTTGGATTTTCATCATTACAAAGAACTGTTATACAAAATTCTAAACTGTTATACTCAAAGAAAATTTTCCAAATCCCTTCAATTTTATATTTTACATGTTATATAAAACTGTTATACAAGGAAACTTAACTGTTATACATGCCTTTCATAGTAAAAATTTTTCTCTAAAATTAATGTAAATCTCTTGTGAATTCAGCTTAACATTTAATCCACATCTCAGCCATAAAAATGACACAAGAAACCTCCCTTCGTATTTTTGTCGGAACAAAATAGTCGTTTTGTTACTTTTGTTGTACTGACTCCTTAAATGACTTCCAAATTTTTATTAAAGTAGCGTTTATAAAAAATATAAATTATTATACAGTAAATAGATCCTTAAACCACTATTTCTGGTATTATTTTGCCTTTTTCTCATTGCAAAAAAAAAACTGTTATACAAAATTCCAAGATGTTAAGCTTTAATAAAATGGCATAAATACTCAAAATCGCAGTGTTTGGGCTAAATTTACTAACAAAATTATATGTATAATTACAAAAAAAATAAGAAGAATAAAAAACTGTTATACCCACAGAAAATCTTGCGAGTCCCTTTAAATCGTTTATTTTATATTTTTAAAAATATTTTTCTCTCACCACAAATATTTCAAAATACTTATACCAAATTTGAAGTTTCTATGCAGTTGAAAAGAATTCTAAGTTCACATTTTTTTTCGTTAAAATTTTGCATTTTTTTCATAACAGAAAAAACTGTTATACAAAAATTCCAAACTGTTATACTCTCAGAAAACGCTGCAAATCCAACAAAATGCCTTTCCATGCATTTTCTGTAAAACTGTTATACAAAACAACTGAACTGTTATACAAGCACATAAGTGTTATAATTTCCTTAAATATCACATTTAATCACATTCTTCTTTAAATTTTGATGACACTTAAACAACACCTCAGCCATGAAAAAATGCATACAACCCCTTCTTTTTCACATATCCTGCCTTTCCCCTTTGGCAAAATTTCAAACATTAAGATGTTGTTTCAGGTTTTTTTTTGTATAGAAGAGCTTTCAACAATTACATGCTTCAGTGTAATTCAAGTGTACATTTCAAACTTCCTGTCAAAAAATTATTTTTTTTTATTATATAATAAAGCGCTTATAGCATGTTATATAATTATGCAATGCTTTGCAGTTTGAAGGATGTCAAATTTTGCTGCCACTCTTTCTTTGGTTAACAATTAAAAAAAATAGTGGAAACTTGTGGGCCTCCCAGGCAAAGCGTTGAAAAAATAGAAATATGTTCGCTTCACATGCTCTGACAAAATAGGCTTATTAGCGAAGGCAAGTGCATGGAATTTTGTGCTTTTGGAAAAATTGAAATATGAGGCATTCTTTTTGCATTTGACAGATATTCGAGAAAATATAAAGGGTTTCAATTCTATAATTGTGGACTGGGATTTCCCATATGTCAGAGTTAATGTTGAACTTATTTAACAGCCTGCAAATCCTGACATTTCTTGGCATATCACACATATAAAACTCTCTCTCCCTCTCACTAACCCTCTTCGTTTCCTCTCTCGCATGCCATTCTCTGTTGCAAACAAACAAAAAACCTTGTCGCATATTAAAAAATATTATTACCCCAACAATAAAATAGAATTAACAAAGTGAACACACCTACACATCTAAGGGGGTTTACATACATACATACATATGTAAACCGAAGAATCCACATAAAATAATGCAATCCTACTAGAGATTATTAATATGGTCGACTGATTTTTGTTGTGAACAAAAATGAGAAAACTTCATAATTATTGTTGGGTAAAACTAAAATTCAACAATTCAAATATAATGGCATTTTCATTGCCCGGGGAAGGTTTATGGCTCCTTTATTTTAATATTTTAAGTTATGAACGATTTATTTGTGGGCTAAGCTAATTAAAAAAAATAAATAAAAAATAATTATTATATATGCCTCAAGGGGAAATTATTTAAATAAAAACAATAAAAAATTTAAAAAACTAGTAAAGAAGCAGTAAGTTCGGCTAGGCCCAACTTTGAATATCCTCCACCATTTGGAACAAATTTGGCAATTTTCAAAAAAAAATCCTTTACAAATTCTGTTAAAATCTTAAAAATACCGAATGTAGCCATTATTTTGGGGTATATACGGCTATGTGGACCTGCATAGGCATCTTTTGTCATAAGCCTTTACAATATTCAAATACGAAACTTGAAAAAAATCAGTGAATAATGTATCTAAAACTATCAAAATACAGATTAGCGGGAGGTAGCGTTACAAGGGGGCTATACGAAGTGGTGGACCTGAACGGACAATTCTCTGTCTTAATCTGTAGTATCCATTACGAACTTCAAATACCAAATTTTTAACAATTCCGGTAAATAATGTTGTTAAAATTACCAAAATACTGAATATCGGGAGGTACCGTTATATGAGAGCTATACGAAGTGGTGGACCTGAACGGACAATTTTCTGTCTTAGGTTGTAGTATCCATTACGAACCTCAAATACCAATCTTGAAATAATTCCGGCAAATAATGTTGCTAAAATCACTAAAATACCGAATAGCGACAGGTATCGTTATATGGGGGCTATACCAAAACTTGGACCTGCAGAGACAATTTTGTGTCCTGGGGTGGAGTATTCATTACGAACTTCAAATACCAAATTTAAAACAATTCCGGTGAGTAATGTTGCCGCAATCATGAAAATACCGAATATCGGGAGGTACCATTATATGAGAGCTATACGAAGACGTGGACCTGCACAGAAAATTTTCTGTCATAGGCTGTAGTATCCATTACGAACTTCAAATACCAAACTTGAAACAATTCCGGTGAATATTTTTGATAAAATCACGAAAATACCGAATATCGGGAGGTACCGTTAAATGGGGGCTATACGAAGGCGTGGACCTACATACCCGATTTTCAATACCAAAAGTCCTGCAGACATTTGAATAAAATTTTATTAACCTATTTCGTTTCGTTCGGAAGCTAGAGTGATTTTCACAGCCGGGCGGACGGACGGGCGGATATCGTTAAATCGACGTAGAATTTTGTGCTTTTCAAGAATATATGTACTTTGTGGGGTCTAAAATGTTTATTTCGAGGTGTTACAAACGGAATGACAAACTTAATATACCCTCAATACTATGGTGGAGGGTATAATAAAATATAAATTTAAGACCCATTGGGCGCCAAATTTATAAACTATATATACCAGATACATAAATGCTAGAACTTTTTACTTTGAACACCTTTAAGAAAAGTTCCTACGCTCCCCTTAAAATATCTTTAACCTTCTATAAAATGCCTTTTGGCAACTTTCCTATATCAAATAGACCTTCTTAGAGGTATTCTGAAGAAAAAAAACCCGTTAAAAAATGTTGGTGTTTTATTTTAAAGAATCTCCCAGATCCCTGATCAAACTTTTCAAGAACCATTATAAAAATATGTTTCATTACTCTGCCCGCTACTTATTTAGAATCCAAATCCTCTCTATCGAACGATATTTTCATAGAAAAAAGTCCCTCTGGACCCAACCCCAAAAAATTCCTAATAATATCTCTCCCTGCGCAAAAACCCAAATCTCCTTTTAAACACAAATTCAACTCAACTTAAATTTTATGGCTCAGCATCAAGGCTGGCCAAAAAAATTCCAACGAAGACCCAACAAAAAAAAACCGGGACATTTTGTCAAGGGTAAATTTGAACAGCCATTGCCGCAGGATGTTGGTATGGGTGGCAAAGCGCATTAGAATAAATGGCTGGCAAAATATTTGCATGTACCTACATGGAAGAGAACGAATGGGGGGACAGCTATTAAAAAGCGGTTGGTATAGGGTTTTTGTGTACGGCAAAATCAACAAATCTCATGGGTTGACACGCAGTTAACACACATATGGCGATAATATGAGAAAAAGAATAAAAATTCTTGGTTTTTACGAACTTTATGGGGCCATTTTCCAACTTTACTAAGGTTGACCACCACGAATGCACAAGCTCTGGCCAACCCTTCTGCCATGAACGGAATCCCTTTGCAACGATTACAACTTGTTTCTGTGGCTATAGCAGACTTCTTTCTCTGTTGTTTATAAGCAACTAAAACATCTTACCCTGATGCACCACTGAAAACTGCATTTCTCTAATTTAGGGTAATTGATATTTTTCCAATTGTTTGTTATACATGCTCCGCGAACAATATTCTCCAACATATAAATGACACGGGCGATATTTTACATCAACAGCATAATCTAGCTCAAAAATTATTCATACCTTTTCCACGGGTAATAATCCAATTAATTTTATTTAACCTCGGCTCCACAAATATGTTATTCAAAAAACTAATAATTAATTTATTTATTAATGTTCCAATGAACATTTCTCATTGGTTGCGAAAATGCACTGATATATTTCCTTACACTGATGCTTCTTCTAATTAGGGTACTCATTTTTAATCTCAAATTGTATTTCTTTTAAAGTTCACTACTCTCTTTCTCTCTGTTATGGCGTTTCTACAATTAGCGCAACAAGAGAAAGAGAGTAACAAAGTGTATATGTGGGGTATGTTCAGTTAAAGCTACAGTAATGCTGCTGTTGCGTTTCTCACATAAACAAAAAAGGGTTTTCATTTCCAAATCAAATCTCTAAACTATATCCCGAAATCAAAAAAAAGACAACATTTACTTCAACTAGAACCAATAAGAAATACATTTATCTCCCAATATGCTCAGCTAATATAAGAAAATAATATTCTTACTCTCTCTCTCTTTCCATTTTTCTCTCTCTCTCTCCCCACCCTCACAGGCGAACGACTCATTCAGTACGCTAGCGAGAATCTAGTCACTGAAGTTTTGATACATCCCCAGTACAATACTCTTATACAATGTATGCGCAACATGTTGAGCAGCTTCACCAGGCATCGTCACATCATCCACGCTGGTTATACCTTTTCCGGCAATGGTTCCTGGATACTACAGGTTGGTATTTAAGCCACATTTATTTTAATTTATTTTGTAATAAACTGCCCCCCCCCCCTTTTTGCCAGGATGGAACCTTTTCGGTTGGTGACTTTGCCGAAGCTTTTCAAGAACATGATGTCCAGAGAGTTATTCGAGCTTATGCCGATACCATCACCATGAACATCCACTGTGCTGACGCTGGCCTCTGGCACACATTGCCCGACAAAAGCTATGCTCGCCTCTGCAAGATCCGCATTAATCCCGTTGACGTTTTAGACACCAGCAGTGAGAGCATCAATGCTTTTATAGGTAAGTTCGACAGACCCGATTGACCCATTGGAACTAAATCACTGATAATGCTCTTGCAGATTACTTGGCGCCCATGCTGGTGCCCACCTCCATACGTGAGCTACTCGAGACCTCAGACGTTGTTGGCAACATACGCTTTACCCACCCCACGCTTTATGTCTTCCCCGGCGGCCAGGGTGATGCCGCCCTCTTCGGGATCAACGGCTTCAATATGTTAGGTAGGTATCTTGGCGTTGATCTCTTACCTCTCAGTTAATGTCTAACCTCTGTCTTTCCAGTCGATGGTGGCTTCAATCGCAAAGCCTGCTTTTGGGATTTTGTTCGCCATTTGGATCGCCTGGATGCTGTGCTCATGACCCGCCTCAACAACAGCAACATCCAGGGTCTCAGTTCGGTGGTCGAGCGCAAACGCGATGCCCCCGTCTATCCCCAAATTGGCCACTTCTTTTCCAACATACCCGACCGCAAGGGTGGCTTGCCCAGTCCCGACGGCGACAAGGATCGCAATCCCCTGTTGATAGATCTCTTCGAGAGAGGCCATAATCTAGTCAGTGACTTAAAGTCGTTAGATTTAAAACCCCAAACCTGTTACAGAGCACCCGAACCCATCAACCTGTACCACAAGGTGGGACACGGCACCTTGGACATGTACGTGATAAGTCCCTCGCGTGATTCACGCGAAGTCAAGGAATTCCTGCAGAAGTGGAACTCGGGCGATCAGCGCCTATTTGCCGCCCGAGACTCCAAGGACTTCAATTTCCCCCTCCAAAATCTGGTTTCGATTTGTGCCCTGCTCGTCTGGCAGCCAGCCAATCCCGATGATACCATCACCCGTATCCTCTTCCCCGGCTCCACACCCGACTACAAGATCCAAGAGGGTCTGGAGAAAATCAAACACCTGGAATTTATGAAGCACTCAACCTGCACTGCCAAATCAATTGCACCTGCCATTCAGACTGTCGTGACCACCCGCAAAACTCTCAAGTCTGCCATCGAGCCATCAGGACCAATCATGCCCTCGAAGCCGGGCAGGTTTGTGCCTCCAGCAGCAACAGCGGCCACTCTGGCCACCATGCAGCAGCAAGACAACAAAATGAAGGAATCGGTCTCCTCGGTGGTGGCCGAAGAGGAGAAGATTGAGAAAATCTACCAGGAGGAAGAGAAAATGGCTGCCTTCAAAAAGAAGGAAGATTCAATCGAAACCGCCGATGAACAGGCTGTCGAAACTGGCGACGAAGCGATGCCTGAACAAGTGGCAGAAACAACCAGCAAAGAAGAGGAGGACCAAGTGGACCAGGCCATAGAGGCCGAGGTGGACAACAAGGAGAGTACGGAGAAAAAGGTTGAGGTTGTCATTGTCAAACCTCAACCCCAGGCTCCACCACCTGCCAAGGAGATCATTGAAACAGCCGAGCCCATAAAACCCGCCAAACCCATCAAGGCCAAGGCAGACAAACCCAGAGCCGAGGTTAAGCCCTTGGTGCGCTCACGCATCGACACACGGCCACCCAAGTCAATGGAACGCAAGGTTGTCAAGAAGGACGAAAAGAAGAGCTCGCCCACGGCAACGCCACGAAAACAAGATTCTGCCAAACCACCAACCAGGGAAGTGAAGGCCAAGGTTGGAAGTCGTCCAGCTAAAGCCAGTCCCAGCAGTACGCCGGCCAAGAGTGCCAAAGAGGCCAACAACCGCAAGGTCTTCGAATCCAAGCAACAGTCCATTCGCCAGACCTCAACCACCACCAGCACCCGAAGAGAAACAACCCGCTCCACAGTTAGCAGCACCGAAAAGCGGGAAACCAAGACAGCTGAGCCCCGCAAGCCAATCTCCAGGAGGCCACGTGGTGCATCGCCTTCGAAGCGCGCTCCTGGCAGCCCTGTCAAAGCTGTCAAGCCCAAAGCTGCCGACCTCAAGAAAGCCCGCCTGGACAAGGGAGGCACCACAGACTCCAGCCTGGTGTCAACACCATCCGCCGATGATGCCGCTGCTGCCAAAAAGCTCCAAGAGCTTACCGCCTCCCAGGAGTTGGATGTGGAGAAACAACGTGAACTGGACGACCTCAAGGAGGAACAGGAGGTGGTGAGAGAAATTGAAGCCGTCTTCTCGCGTGACGAAATGAAACGGCATCAACAAATCAAGGCTGAGATCCGTGAGGTCACCAAGCAGGATAGTACCACAGAAGCCGAGGAAGACGATGAGTACTTGATCATCGAAAAGGAGGAAATCACCGAGGACTCCATCGTCGAACAGGAGGAGAGCAGTGTTACCAAAGAGGAGGAGATTCAAAAGCACCAGCGAGACTCTCAAGAATCCGAAAAGAAACGCAAACGCAGCGCAGAAGAAGAAATCGAAGCTGCCATAGCCAAGGTCGAAGCCGAAGAGCGCAAGGCCAAGTTGGAGACCGAACCAAGCGCCCCTCCTCCAGAAAGTCCTGAGCCCGATGAAACAGCCCAAGAAGTGGAAGCTGACGACGAAGCCGAGGCCGAAGCCAAAGAAGAAGCTGAAGTGGCCGAAAAGGAAATTGAAGCCGACGCTGATGCAGATACCAAGCTGGAACTCACGACCGCCGTCGAAACAGAAATCAAGGCTGAAGTCCAAGAAATCATCACCACAGCCAAAGAAATTGTTACCTCTAAAACTGATGAACATTTGGCCAAGACAGAGGAGGACATTTCTTCGGTTACGCCAGACGAACGCATCAGCAGTGCCAAAAAGACTTCCGACACCAAGGACGACTTGGTGGGCTTGCCAGTTGAAGTAATTCCAGCCAACTTGCAGGAAAGCCTGCCCGAAGAAAGATTCTCGGCCACAATAGAATCGGGTGCCACCACAGCCCCCACTCTACCTGAGGATGAACGCATCCCACTCGATGAAATCAAGGAAGACCTGGCCATTGAAGAGAAATACGTCAAAGAAGAAACCAAAGAAGTTGAAGCCGTTGTTGCCTCGGTCAGTGCCCTGACGTCCATCATTCCCCCATCGGAAACCAGTGCCGAACCAAAGGAAATTCTAGCTCAGAAATATACCGACCGTATTGTGGCTGGTATTGGCACCGCCGAGCGCATCTTACCCATCAAAATGGCCTACGATTCGCAACAGATGCGAGACGTTGTCAAAACTCCCGATGAGGTCGCTGACCTGCCTATGCACGAAGAAGCCGATATGGGTCTGTACGAAAAGGACGCGCAGGAATCAGGCAAGTCCATTTCCCACAAAGAGGAACTGGCCAAAGAAGAAAAAGAGGAAGAAGAAAAGGTCACCGAAATCGAAGAGGAAGACGAAGAAGCTGATGAAGCAGAAAAGGACACGAAAGTGACTAAAGAAGACGATGAAGAGGCCCAAGAAACCGTAACAGCCGTCCAACAGGAAGATGAGACTAAAGACCAAGTTCCTTCCCCAACAGACAAAGGCCCAGCCTCTCCAGGTGACGCTAAAAAAATAGTCGAGGAAGACGAGTCTCGAGATGTCGAAGAAACCGCCGTTGAGGTGAGGGAAGAAATCACCGTCGTGAAGGTAGCCGAAGTCAAGGAGGCAAAGAAACCTTTAGCATCGCCTGAAGAGAAGGAAGTTAGCGAAATTACCTCGGAAGATGAAATCCCCGCCCAAATGCCCTCATCAAAGGCCAGGAAAGAGGAAAAGTTAGAGGACACCGTCTCCGTCGAAAGTCCCCCAACAATTGAGGAAGCCATTGAAGTTGAAGTGCAAAAGTCCTTGCAAGGAAGTCGCAAGCCATCCGTGGAGACATCCAAGAAACCCTCAGCTGAAGTTTCCAAAGAAACCTCGCGTCGAGAATCTGTCTCAGAAAAAACAGCCGCATCTAAGGAAACTTCAAGACCTGAATCTGTAGTCGACGAGGACAAGTCGATGCAAGAATCTAAGGAGCACTCACGACGCGAATCCGTAGCTGATGCCGAAAAGATAGCCAAGTCAAAGGAACCTTCTGAGAGCGCTTCAGTCGGTGAAGCTTCCCGCAAGAGTTCAGTCGAAGAAAGTGAAAAGGCCAAGATGTCTGGAGCAGCGTCAAGGGAGCCATCCCGACCTGCTTCAGTAACTGAAAGTGATAAACAGGAAAAATCTGTTGTGGAAAGCGAGAAGGCAGACCTTACCGTGGTTTCACGAAAAACTTCGGTTATAGAGACTGAAAAGGAACAGACGATAGCATCTGCTGAGGTATCGGAAGAGCCATCCGAGGCGGCTTCGGCAGCTGTCAGTGAAAAGGATGACAAATCACCCATAGCTTCCAGGAAACCATCTACTGTGGCTGAAAGCGAGAAGGAATCGAAAGAACATTCCAGACCTACATCCGTCGCCGAAAGCAAAGAGGAGGAGCAGGATGTGGAATCGACCATTGCTTCAAGAAAGGTATCTGTGGTGGAGAGTGTCAAGGATGCCAAGCCTGCCGACGAATCCAAGGCACCATCAGAGGCTGTGTCAGCCGCTGTTAGTGAAAAGGATGAAAAATCGCCAATAGTCTCCAGGAAGCCCTCTGTGGCGGAGAGTGTCAAAGATTCTAAGTCGGCCGAAGAATCAAAGGCACCATCGGAAGCAGCTGTTAGTGAAAAGGATGAGAAGTCACCAACAGTCTCCAGGAAGCCATCTGTGGTGGAAAGTGTCAAGGATACCAAGTCAGCCGAAGAATCAAAGATGCCTTCGGAAGCGGTGTCAGCAGCTGTTAGTGAAAAGGATGAGAAGTCTCCAGCAGCCTCCAGGAAGCCATCTGTGGTGGACAGTGTCAAAGATGCCAAGTCAGCCGAAGAATCAAAGGCACCTTCGGAAGCAGCTGTTAGTGAAAAGGATGAGAAGTCTCCAACAGTCTCCAGGAAGCCTTCCGTTGCAGAAAGCGAAAAGAAATCTGCTGAAGAGTCTAAAGAACCATCGCGGCCAACTTCCGTCACTGAAAGCAAAGAAGAAGATAAATCTCCAACCATTTCTGTAGTGGAGAGTGTCAAGGATGCCAAGTCGGCCGGGGAATCAAAGGCACCATCGGAAACTGTGTCAGCAGCTGTTAGTGAAAAGGATGAAAAGTCACCAACAGTTTCCAGGAAGCCATCTGTGGTGGAGAGTGTCAAAGATGCCAAGTCAGCCGAAGAATCAAAGGCACCTTCGGAAACTGTGTCAGCAGCTGTTAGTGAAAAGGATGAAAAGTCACCAACAGTTTCCAGGAAGCCATCTGTGGTGGAGAGTGTCAAAGATGCCAAGTCAGCCGAAGAATCAAAGGCACCATCGGAAACTGTGTCAGCAGCTGTTAGTGAAAAGGATGAGAAGTCTCCAACAGTCTCCAGGAAGCCTTCCGTTGCAGAAAGCGAAAAGAAATCTGCTGAAGAGTCTAAAGAACCATCGCGGCCAACTTCCGTCACCGAAAGCAAGGAGGAAGAGAAATCTCCAACTGTTTCTAGAAAAGAATCTGTGGTGGAAAGTGTCAAGGACGCCAAGTCGACCGAAGGATCTAAGGCACCATCGGAAGCTGTGTCGGCCGCTGTTAGTGAAAAGGATGAGAAGTCACCATCAGTCTCCAGAAAGCCATCGGTGGTGGAAAGTATCAAGGAGGCTTCAAAAGAGCCGTCGGAGGCTGCCGTAAGTGACAAAGATGAGAAGCCCCCAACTATCTCCAGAAAACCATCCGTTACCGATGGTGAAAAGAAATCCGCAGAAGAAACAAAAGAATCTTCTCGACCCACTTCCGCAGCTGAAAGCAAGGAGGGAGAGAAATCTCCAATTCTGTCGAGAAAAGAATCTCCAATCGAAAGTGTAAGGTTAACTGAATCATTTAAAGAGCTATCAACGCCAGGACACACAACTATCAGCCATGAGGGTGAGAAATCTCCCCTTGCATCAAGGAAGCCTTCTGTAGCTGAGAGCGAAAAGAAATCGGCTGAGGAATCTAAGGAAGCTTCCCGACCAACATCAGTCGCCGAAAGCAAAGAAGAAGATGAGAAATCTCCTCTTGCATCACGGAAGGCTTCAGTGGCTGAGAGCGAAAAGAAATCGGCTGAGGAATCTAAGGAAGCCTCCCGACCAACATCAGTCGCCGAAAGCAAAGAAGAAGATGAGAAATCTCCTCTTGCATCAAGGAAGCCTTCAGTGGCTGAGAGCGAAAAGAAATCCGTCGACGAATCCAAAGAAGTTTCTCGACCAACATCAGTTGCCGAAAGCAAAGAGGAAGAGAAATCTCCTCTTGCATCACGGAAGCCTTCAGTGGCTGAAATCGAAAAGAAATCAGCTGAGGAATCTAAGGAAGCTTCCCGACCAACATCAGTTGCCGAAAGCAAAGAGGAAGAGAAATCTCCTCTTGCATCAAGGAAGCCTTCAGTGGCTGAGAGCGAAAAGAAATCCGTCGACGAATCCAAAGAAGTTTCTCGACCAACATCAGTTGCCGAAAGCAAAGAGGAAGAGAAATCTCCTCTTGCATCACGGAAGCCTTCAGTAGCTGAAAGCGAAAAGAAATCAGCTGAGGAATCTAAGGAAGCTTCCCGACCAACATCAGTCGCCGAAAGCAAAGAGGAAGAGAAATCTCCTCTTGCATCAAGGAAGGTTTCAGTGGCTGACAGCGAAAAGAAATCGGCCGAGGAATCTAAGGAAGCCTCCCGACCAACATCAGTTTCCGAAAGCAAAGAAGAAGAAGAGATATCCCCTGTTGCATCAAGGAAGGCTTCAGTGGCTGAGAGCGAAAAGAAATCCGTCGACGAATCCAAAGAAGTTTCTCGACCAACATCAGTTGCCTCAAGCAAAGAGGAAGAGAAATCTCCTCTTGCATCACGGAAGCCTTCAGTGGCTGAGAGCGAAAAGAAATCAGCTGAGGAATCTAAGGAAGCTTCCCGACCAACATCAGTCGCCGAAAGCAAAGAGGAAGAGAAATCTCCTCTTGCATCAAGGAAGCCTTCAGTGGCTGAGAGCGAAAAGAAATCACCTGAGGAATCTAAGGAAGCTTCCCGACCAACATCAGTCGCCGAAAGCAAAGAAGAAGATGAGAAATCTCCTCTTGCATCTAAGGAAGCTTCCCGACCAACATCAGTCGCCGAAAGCAAAGAAGAAGATGAGAAATCTCCTCTTGCATCAAGGAAGCCTTCTGTGGCTGAGAGCGAAAAGAAATCCGTCGACGAATCCAAAGAAGTTTCTCGACCAACATCAGTCGCCGAAAGCAAAGAGGAAGAGAAATCTCCTCTTGCATCAAGGAAGCCTTCTGTAGCCGAGAGCGAAAAGAAATCCGTCGACGAAGCCAAAGAAGCTTCTCGACCAACATCAGTTGCCGAAAGCAAAGAGGTAGAAAAATCTCCTCTTGCATCAAGGAAGCCTTCTGTAGCTGAGAGCGAAAAGAAATCAGCAGAGGAATCTAAGGAAGCCTCTCGACCAACATCAGTTGCCGAAAGCAAAGAGGAAGAGAAATCTCCTCTTGCATCAAGGAAGCCTTCTGTAGCTGAGAGCGAAAAGAAATCAGCAGAGGAATCTAAGGAAGCCTCTCGACCAACATCAGTTGCCGAAAGCAAAGAAGAAGAAGAGAAATCCCCTGTTGCATCAAGGAAGGCTTCAGTGGCTGAGAGCGAAAAGAAATCCGTTGACGAATCCAAAGAAGCTTCTCGGCCAACATCAGTTGCCGAAAGCAAAGAAGAGGGAGAGACATCTCTTCTAGCATCAAGGAAGCCTTCTGTAGCTGAGAGCGAAAAGAAATCAGCAGAGGAATCTAAGGAAGCCTCCCGACCAACATCCGTCGCCGAAAGCAAAGAAGAAGAGAAATCTCCTGTTGCATCAAGGAAGCCTTCAGTGGCTGAGAGCGAAAAGAAATCGGGCGAGGAATCCAAAGAAGCTTCCCGACCAACATCAGTTGCCTCAAGCAAAGAGGAAGAGAAATCTCCTGTTGCATCAAGGAAGCCTTCAGTGGCTGAGAGCGAAAAGAAATCGCCTGAGGAAACTAAGGAAGCCTCCCGACCAACATCAGTCGCTGAAAGCAAAGAAGAAGATGAGAAATCACCTCTTGCATCAAGGAAGCCTTCAGTGGCTGAGAGCGAAAAGAAATCGGCTGAGGAATCTAAGGAAGCCACCCGACCAACATCAGTCGCCGAAAGCAAAGAGGAAGAAAAATCTCCCCTTGCATCAAGAAAGGCTTCAGTGGCTGAGAGCGAAAAGAAATCCGTCGACGAATCCAAGGAAGCCTCCCGACCAACATCAGTTGCTGAAAGCAAAGAAGAGGAAGATAAATCTCCTTTTGCATCAAGGAAGCCTTCAGTGGCTGAGAGCGAAAAGAAATCGACTGAAGAATCTAAGGAAGCCTCCCGACCAACATCAGTTGCCGAAAGCAAAGAGGAAGAGAAATCTCCCCTTGCATCAAGAAAGGCTTCAGTGGCTGAGAGCGAAAAGAAATTTGCCGAGGAATCCAAAGAAGCTTCCCGACCAACATCAGTTGCCGAAAGCAAAGAGGAAGATGAGAAATCTCCTCTTGCATCAAGGAAGCCTTCAGTGGCTGAGAGCGAAAAGAAATCCGTTGACGAATCCAAAGAAGCTTCCCGACCAACATCTGTTGCCGAAAGCAAAGAAGAGGTAGAGACAACTGCTCTTTCTTCAAGGAAGCCTTCTGTAGCTGAGAGCGAAAAGAAATCGGCTGATGAATCTAAGGAAGCCTCCCGACCAACATCAGTCGCCGAAAGCAAAGAGGGAGAGAAATCTCCTCTTGCATCAAGGAAGGCTTCAGTGGCTGAGAGCGAAAAGAAATCGGCTGAGGAATCCAAAGAAGCTTCCCGACCAACATCTGTAGCTGAAAGCAAAGACGAAGAGAAATCTCCTCTTGCATCAAGGAAGGCATCAGTGGCTGAGAGCGAAAAGAAATCGGCTGAGGAATCCAAAGAAGCTTCCCGACCAACATCAGTTGCCGAAAGCAAAGAGGAAGAGAAATCTCCCCTTGCATCAAGAAAGGCTTCAGTGGCTGAGAGCGAGAAGAAATCGGCTGAGGAATCTAAAGAGCAATCCCGACCAACATCAGTTGCCGAAAGCAAAGAGGAAGAGAAATCTCCTCTTGCATCAAGGAAGCCTTCAGTGGCTGAGAGCGAAAAGAAATCCGTCGACGAATCCAAAGAAGCTTCCCGACCAACATCAGTTGCTGAAAGCAAAGAGGAAGAGAAATCTCCTGTTGCGTCAAGGAAGCCATCTGTAGCTGAGAGCGAAAAGAAATCGGCCGAGGAATCCCAAGAAGCTACCCGACCAACATCAGTTGCCGAAAGCAAAGAGGAAGAGAAATCTCCTCTTGCATCCAGGAAGGCTTCAGTGGCTGAGAGCGAAAAGAAATCGGCTGAGGAATCTAAGGAAGAATCCCGACCAACATCAGTCGCCGAAAGCAAAGAGGAAGAGAAATCTCCTGTTGCGTCAAGGAAGGCTTCAGTGGCTGAGAGCGAAAAGAAATCGGCCGAGGAATCCAAAGAAGCTTCCCGACCAACATCAGTTGCCGAAAGCAAAGATGAAGAGAAATCTCCTCTTGCATCAAGGAAGCCTTCAGTGGCTGAGAGCGAAAAGAAATCACCTGAGGAATCTAAGGAAGCCTCCCGACCAACATCAGTCGCTGAAAGCAAAGAAGAAGATGAGAAATCACCTCTTGCATCAAGGAAGCCTTCAGTGGCTGAGAGCGAAAAGAAATCGGTTGAGGAATCTAAGGAAGCCACCCGACCAACATCAGTCGCCGAAAGCAAAGAGGAAGAGAAATCTCCCCTTGCATCAAGAAAGGCTTCAGTGGCTGAGAGCGAAAAGAAATCGGCCGAGGAATCCAAAGAAGCTTCCCGACCAACATCAGTTGCCGAAAGCAAAGAGGAAGAGAAATCTCCTCTTGCATCAAGGAAGGCTTCAGTAGCCGAGGGCGAAAAGAAATCGGCCGAGGAATCCAAAGAAGCTTCCCGGCCAACATCAGTTGCCGAAAGCAAAGAGGAAGAGAAATCTCCTCTTGCATCAAGGAAGCATTCAGTGGCTGAGAGCGAAAAGAAATCCGTCGACGAATCCAAAGAAGCTTCCCGACCAACATCAGTTGCTGAAAGCAAAGAGGAAGAGAAATCTCCTGTTGCGTCAAGGAAGCCATCTGTAGCTGAGAGCGAAAAGAAATCGGCCGAGGATTCCCAAGAAGCTGCCCGACCAACATCAGTTGCCGAAAGCAAAGAGGAAGAGAAATCTCCTCTTGCATCCAGGAAGCCTTCAGTGGCTGAGAGCGAAAAGAAATCGGCTGAGGAATCTAAGGAAGAATCCCGACCAACATCAGTCGCCGAAAGCAAAGAGGAAGAGAAATCTCCTGTTGCGTCAAGGAAGGCTTCAGTAGCTGAGAGCGAAAAGAAATCACCTGAGGAATCTAAGGAAGCCTCCCGACCAACATCAGTCGCCGAAAGTAAAGAGGAAGATAAATCTCCTCTTGCATCACGAAAGCCTTCAGTGGCTGAGAGCGAAAAGAAATCGGTTGAGGAATCCAAAGAATCTTCCCGACCAACATCAGTCGCCGAAAGCAAAGAGGATGAAAAGTCTCCCCTTGCATCAAGAGAGGCTTCAGTGGCTGAGAGCGAAAAGAAATCCGTTGACGAATCCAAGGAAGCCTCCCGACCAACATCAGTCGCCGAAAGCAAAGAAGAAGATGAAAAATCACCTCTTGCATCAAGGAAGCCTTCTGTGGCTGAGAGCGAAAAGAAATCGGCTGAAGAATCTAAGGAAGCCTCCCGACCAACATCAGTCGCCGAAAGTAAAGAGGAAGATAAATCTCCTCTTGCATCACGAAAGCCTTCAGTGGCTGAGAGCGAAAAGAAATCGGTTGAGGAATCCAAAGAAGCTTCCCGACCAACATCAGTCGCCGAAAGCAAAGAGGATGAAAAGTCTCCCCTTGCATCAAGAAAGGCTTCAGTGGCTGAGAGCGAAAAGAAATCCGTTGACGAATCCAAGGAAGCCTCCCGACCAACATCAGTCGCCGAAAGCAAAGAGGAAGAGAAATCTCCTGTTGCATCAAGGAAGGCTTCAGTGGCTGAGAGCGAAAAGAAATCGGCCGAGGAATCCAAAGAAGCTTCCCGACCAACATCAGTTGCCGAAAGCAAAGAGGAAGAGAAATCTCCTCTTGCATCACGGAAGCCTTCAGTGGCTGAGAGCGAAAAGAAATCGGTTGAGGAATCCAAAGAAGCTTCCCGACCAACATCAGTCGCCGAAAGCAAAGAAGAAGAAAAGTCTCCCCTTGCATCAAGAAAGGCTTCAGTGGCTGAGAGCGAAAAGAAATCCGTTGACGAATCCAAGGAAGCCTCCCGACCAACATCAGTCGCCGAAAGCAAAGAGGAAGAGAAATCTCCTGTTGCATCAAGGAAGGCTTCAGTGGCTGAGAGCGTAAAGAAATCGGCCGAGGAATCCAAAGAAGCTTCCCGACCAACATCAGTTGCCGAAAGCAAAGAGGAAGAGAAATCTCCTCTTGCATCCAGGAAGGCTTCAGTGGCTGAGAGCGAAAAGAAATCCGTCGACGAGTCCAAGGAAGCTTCCCGACCAACATCCGTCGCCGAAAGCAAAGAGGAAGAGAGATCTCCTCTTGCATCAAGGAAGCCTTCAGTGGCTGAGAGCGAAAAGAAATCCGTCGACGAGTCCAAGGAAGCTTCCCGACCAACATCAGTCGTCGAAAGCAAAGAGGAAGAGAGATCTCCTCTTGCATCAAGGAAGCCATCTGTAGCTGAGAGCGAAAAGAAATCGGCTGAGGAATCTAAGGAAGCCTCCCGACCAACATCAGTTGCCGAAAGCAAAAAGGAGGAGGAATCTCCTGTTGCATCAAGGAAGACTTCAGTGGCTGAGAGTGAAAAGAAATCCGTCGACGAATCCAAAGAAGCTTCCCGACCAACATCAGTCGCCGAAAGTAAAGAGGAAGAGAAATCTCCTCTTGAATCAGGGAAGGCTTCAGTGGCTGAGAGCGAAAAGAAATCGGCTGATGAATCTAAAGAAGCCTCCCGACCAACATCAGTCGCCGAAAGCAAAGAGGAAGAGAAATCTCCTGTTACATCAAGGAAGCCTTCAGTGGCTGAGAGCGGAAAGAAATCCGTTGACGAATCCAAAGAAGCTTCCCGACCAACATCTGTTGCCGAAAGCAAAGAAGAGGTAGAGACAACTCCTCTTTCTTCAAGGAAGCATTCTGTAGCTGAGAGCGAAAAGAAATCGGCTGATGAATCTAAGGAAGCCTCCCGACCAACATCAGTCGCCGAAAGCAAAGAGGGAGAGAAATCTCCTCTTGCATCAAGAAAGGCTTCAGTGGCTGAGAGCGAAAAGAAATCGGCTGAGGAATCTAAGGAAGCCTCCCGACCAACATCAGTTGCCGAAAGCAAAAAGGAGGAGGAATCTCCTGTTGCATCAAGGAAGACTTCAGTGGCTGAGAGTGAAAAGAAATCCGTCGACGAATCCAAAGAAGCTTCCCGACCAACATCAGTCGCCGAAAGCAAAGAAGAGGAAGATAAATCTCCTCTTGCATCAAGGAAGCCATCTGTAGCTGAGAGCGAAAAGAAATCCGTCGACGAGTCCAAGGAAGCTTCCCGACCAACATCAGTCGCCGAAAGCAAAGAGGAAGAGAAATCTCCTCTTGCGTCAAGGAAGCCATCTGTAGCTGAGAGCGAAAAGAAATCGGCTGAGGAATCTAAGGAAGCCTCCCGACCAACATCAGTTGCCGAAAGCAAAGAGGAAGAGAAATCTCCTGTTACATCAAGGAAGCCTTCAGTGGCTGAGAGCGAAAAGAAATCCGTCGACGAGTCCAAGGAAGCTTCCCGACCAACATCAGTTGCCGAAAGCAAAGAGGAAGAGAAATCTCCCCTTGCATCAAGGAAGCCTTCTGTAGCTGAGAGCGAAAAGAAATCGGCTGATGAATCTAAGGAAGCCTCCCGACCAACATCAGTCGCCGAAAGCAAAGAGGGAGAGAAATCTCCTCTTGCATCAAGAAAGGCTTCAGTGGCTGAGAGCGAAAAGAAATCGGCTGAGGAATCCAAAGAAGCTTCCCGACCAACATCAGTTGCCGAAAGCAAGGAAGCAGAAGAGAAATCTCCACTTGCATCAAGAAAGGCTTCAGTGGCTGAGAGCGAAAAGAAATCAGCTGAGGAATCTAAGGAAGCCTCCCGGCCAACTTCTGTCGCTGAGAGCAAGGAAGAAGTGAAATCCCCTGTCGCTGTTAGTGGTTTGACACTAAAGACGGTTTATCCCGTCATCATTGACACCATTTCTTCTCCCATTGATGAAGCTGCCAAAGATTTAGACGATGGCAAGCGTAAAAAAGAAGACTTTTCTTTAGATCTCAGGATTGGCGATAAAGAAGACAAATTGCCAACTTCTTCTAGCCCCGTAGATGTTGCTGAAGGCGATTTTCCACCTACCAGCGAAGACAAGGGCTCAGAACACCATGCCGATGTTGATATCTCCGCCACTGTTTCATCACCAGTTGACAAGGCCGATGGTTTCAGCGAAGAAATTGAAAAGCTTGTTTCCTCTCAGAAGACTTCTCCTTCGGAACAAATTTCTCCCGGCCACATTGAAACCGTTTCCTCGCCAATCGATGATGCCTTGAAAATCACTGAAGAAGTCATTGCCAAAAAAGAGGAGTTCTCATTGCAGCTCACCTCTACTGATGCCCTTGGCCACTTGCCAACATCCTCAAGTCCGGTTGATGTTGCCGAAGGTGATTTTGAGAAAGAGGCAGAGAAATTGGATGATAAACCTGATTTAAAATTCGATGTCAAGGATACAGCGTCTACCCCTGTTGACGAGGCCGCCGAACCAAGTGTCGTGGCTGACGTGAAGAAGCAAGAAGATTCGCCATCTCCAAAATCGAAGGGCTTGTTCGAATCGATAACAGGAATGGTTAAGGACATCTTCACCAAAGAAACTGGAACTGTCGATGAGGCTGTCACTGCCATTGAATCATCTGTCGATCAGTTGGGCAAGGACATTGCTAAGAAGACCGAAGAGATCAGTGAAACTGAACTTGCTATCGAATCAAGGATTGAAGATGTCAAAGACCATGCCAAGTCGTTACTGGACATTTCCTCCAAACTTGATATTCTCAAAGATTCAGCAGCTCATGCTGCCGAGGTTGTTGGCGAAAAAGCGGTCGAAGTTGAAGAAAAAGCCGGAGAAATTCTTAAATCTGAGGCATCGGCACTGAAGGATGAATTAGAAAGCCAAATGAAATCTGGCAAGAATGAAGTAGAGGAAGCTAAGAGTGTTATCGAATCGGCGGTGACAGCAGTCACCTCGGAAGCAGAACATCTTGAACAAAAGACTGAAGAAGTGGTCAAAACTCTTTCTCAAACCTTGGAAGAAACAGTTTCTGATTTGAAACAGACAACCGAACGTGTTGTGGCAGAAACCAAGGAGACCGTTGCCAGCAAAGCAGAGGAAATTAAAGAATCGGTGACTTCCGAAGTCACCGAAACTATTTCACAGACTAAAGATGCACTCGAAAAGCAAGTCACCTCGGTGACTGAGGAAGCCTCCAGCAAGCTGGAAGAAATCAAAGACCAAAGCCAGGAATTGACGAAAATCGTATCCGAAAGTGTTGTTGAAAAGGTTGCAGAGACCAAATCCAAGGTCGAGGAATTGAAGGAATCAGTTACGGCCTCCATCGAGGAAGCCATTGAAGAAGTAACGGAATTGAAAAAAGAAGCCGTGGAAGAACTTAAGATGGCTGTGGTCTCAACAGCGGAAGCAATTACCGAGAAGACATCTTCGACTGTCGAGGATGTCAAGACCACAAAGGCATCTGTTATTGAAACTGCTGCCACGGACATTAAGGATTCAGTGGCCGAGAAGGTCGAAGTTGTTGAAGAGATTGTCAAAACCAAAGTTGAGACATTGAGCCAAGATATGAAGTCAGCGACTAGTGATTCCCTAGGATTTACCACCGAACTTCGTGAAACCCACATTACAACAATGGATGCATCGCCCGACCTGAAGATAACAGTGGTCGACAAGGACGAGCCCGTTTTGCATGACATCAAGGAAGAGGAAGAAGAACATCGTACAAGCCCACCCTCCGATGTAGCGCCTGTATTGGGTGACGTTGCCGTACCCCGACCCGTATCTCCACGGGAAGTTGAAGTTTTCAAGATTGTAGCCGATGTTGCCAAGGTTTTGAAATCGGAGAAAGATATTACCGAGATTATTCCAGACTTTGACGAAAAAGAGCTGGAGGAGAAACTCAAATCTGTGGAAGAACCTGAGGGTCCAACTGTTCAACGGATGCTCGTCACGGCCAGCAGTGAAGACGGCGGAGAAGAGACGGAAATATGCCCCAAGGGCTCCATTCAATTTACACCAGCTCCCATCGCAGAGGTGCCCAGCGAGAAGGACAAGCCCACCCTTGAAAAGGTTCCCAAGTCGGAAATTGAGTCGGAAAAATCATCACCCGAACTAAAATCCTCGGGACCTGCTTCAATCGAAGAGAAAGACAAGATCGAAGAGTCAGAAAAGGCCCAACTGCGAGGAAAGCGAGATGTAAGTGGTCGCAAAGAATCAACCTCCAGCATGGAATTGGAATGGAGACGAGAATCGGCCATAAGTGCCTACAGTGAGAAGGATTTGACCAAAGATGAGGATACTTTCGACAGCAAAGCCGACTTCTCGTCCAGTCCATTCGAAGACAAGGACCGGCCAGATTCGGCTGCCAGTCAGATCTCATCCAAGGACAAAGAATTGCCACACGAAGTCGAAGAAACTGCAGCAAAGGATAGCCGAAAAGAATCACTGCTTTCCACAGCCGGAGAAGAGATCAAGGAAGCAATTGTTTCTCCCACTGTGTCGGTAGCCAGTGAAAAGGCTGCCAAAACTTCCGGTCGGGAATCGGTCCTTTCGACAGCAGACAGCAAAGTTGAAGACAAATCACCCACGCCATCAGATGCCAAGGAATTATCACGTCCTGCTTCCGAAGTTAGTGCCAAGGAGGACGACAGTACCGTGACAACGAAGGAGTCTGTGGCCGAAGACAAGGATGTCAAATCAACAGCCGATCAGAAGGCATCCTCCCGACCAGAATCTGTAGTTTCCCAGGCAGAAAGCAAGGCTAGTGAGAAATCTGCAGAAGTCCCCGAGGAAAAGGAAGTTTCACGCCCTGTGTCCGCTTCCAGCCATGTCACAGACGCCGGCGATTCGGTGTCCAGAAAAGAATCAATGATTTCAACTACCGAAGAAAAGGCCTCTACAGATGCCGCCTCCAGGAAAGAATCAATCGTTTCCGCTGCGGATGAAAAGGCAGCATCTCGGCCCGAATCAGTAGTTTCACAAGCAGAGAGCAAAGCTAGTGAAATATCTGCGGCAACTGAAGAAAAAGAAACCTCACGCGCAGCCTCTGTCGCCAGCCATGCTGACGCAACAGATGTTGCTGACACCATGTCCAGAAAAGAATCGGTTATCTCCGCTGCTGAAGAAAAGCCTGTGTCTAGACCAGAATCAGTTGTGTCGCAAGCAGAAAGCAAAGTCAGCGAGAAGTCTGCAGGATCCGTTGCTGAAGCTACAGATGTTCTGTCCAGAAAAGAATCTGTGATTTCCACTGCTGAGGAAAAGTCACCCTCCAGACCAGAATCAGCCATCTCCCCAGCAGAAAGCAAGGCTAGTGAAAAATCTATTGTTTCCGAACAAAAGCAAGGTGATTCTGATGCCGTGTCTCGGAAGGAATCTGTGATTTCAATAGCCGATGAAAAACCAACATCTAGGCCAGAATCGGTTATCTCACAAGCAGAAAGCAAAGCTAGTGAACCCAAAGAAGCTTCACGACCTACCTCTGCAGTCAGTCACGTTGAGGCCGAGGAAAAGATTTCTTCGGATGTTGCCTCAAGAAAAGAATCAATCGTTTCTGCCGCTGAAGAAAAACTAGCCTCTCGACCAGAATCAGTTGTCTCCCAAGCAGAGAGCAAAACAAATGAACAGAAAGAAGCATCACGCCCGGCTTCGTCAGTCAGTCAGCCAGAGGTTGTTGATGCCACATCCCGAAAAGAGTCTGTGATTTCAAGTACCGAGGATAAGGGCTCTGCAGATGCCGCCTCCAGGAAAGAATCAATAATTTCCGCTGCCGATGAGAAGATGGCCTCTCGGCCAGAATCAGTTGTTTCCCAGGCCGAAAGCAAAGCTAGTGAAAAGTCCGAACCCAAGGAGGATGCATCCAGAAAAGAATCCGTTATTTCTACCGCTGATGAGAAACCAGTGTCAAGACCTGAATCTGTTGCCTCCCAAGCGGAAAGCAAGGCTAGTGAAAAGTCAGCAGTATCCGAGCAAAAGGAGGACACCATGACCAGAAAAGAATCCCTGATCTCCGCTACTGAGGAGAAGACCACTTCCGCTGTGCCCTCAAGAAAAGAATCAGTTGTTTCCACTGCCGAGGACAAGCCAATATCTAGACCAGAATCAGTTGTTTCACAGGCCGAGAGCAAAGCCAGCGAAAAATCAGCCGAACCCGAACAGAAGCAAGCTTCACGGCCCAGCTCTGTTACCAGCCAAGCTGATGCTTCAGGTGTTCCTGACACCATGTCTCGAAAAGAATCTGTGATGTCCACTGCCGAGGAGAAGACCCCTTCAGATACTGCATCGCGAAAGGAATCCGTTGTCAGCGAAAAGCCAACATCAAGACCAGAATCAGTTGTTTCACAGGCCGAAAGCAAGGCAAGCGAAAAATCTGTGGCATCCGAACTGAAAGAAGACCACGCTGATGACATCTCCCGAAAGGAATCAGTGATTTCATCCACTGGCGAAAAAGCCACTTCCGATATAGCCTCAAGAAAAGAATCCATGGTTTCCACGACGGATGACAAGGCAACCTCCAGACCAGAATCAGTTGTTTCACAAGCCGATAGCAAGGCAAGCGAAAAATCTGTTGCACCCGAGCAAAAAGAAGACGCGACGTCCAGAAAAGAATCGCTAATTTCAACCACTGGGGCAGAGATAACAACCGACGTAACATCGAGAAAAGAATCTGTCGTTTCTATTGCTGATGAAAAACCGACCTCCAGGCCAGAATCGGTTACCTCACAAGCCGAAAGCAAAGTATCCGAACAAAAAGAAGCTTCCCGTCCTGTCTCTGTTGTCAGCCATACCAGCGAGGTTGTTGATACAACATCCCGCAAAGAGTCTGTGATATCGGCAACTGAAGTTTCAGAGATTGCCTCACGCAAAGAATCCATTACTTCTACGACTCAAGAAAAGCAATCTTCGGAGGCTGGTGACGTGATCTCCCGCAAAGAATCTACAATTTCTACAACCGTGGACCAATCGACGACTTCAAGACCAGAATCGGTGGTATCACAGCCCGATAGCAAGGCTGGTGAAAAGTCAGATGAGAAGGTAGCCTCGACGAAGGAAGAGGAAAAAATTAGCACTACCACATCTATTCTTGATGCTGCCCACGAATCAGCCGCTAAGATCTCTTCGCTCATAACCACCACAATATCATCGACCAGCGAAAAACAAGAAAGCCTAGCATCAGCCGTCTCCAGCTCTACAGAAAAACTAGAATCGATGGTTTCACAGACTGTAAGCAAGGCTAGTGAAAAGGCTGAGGAAAAGATAGCCTCAACGAAGGAAGAGGAAAAGGTCGTAACAACCACATCTATTCTTGATGCCGCCCATGAATCGGCCGCCAAGATTTCCTCGATTATTACCACAACAATCTCATCGACCACCGGAACACAGCAAAGTGGCTCCACAGAAAGATCAGAATCGGTAGTTTCACAGGTCGAAAGCAAAGCTAGTGAAAAATCTGAGGAAAAGGCTACCACACCACAAACAGAGGAAAAAGTTTCCACCACCACCACCTCATCAGTTCTGGATGCCGCCCATGAGTCGGCCGCCAAGATTTCCTCCCTTATTACCACCACAGTCACATCGACCAGCGAAAAACAAGAAAGCCTAGCATCGGCCGTATCCAGCTCCACAGAAAGCAAACAAATCATAACTGAGACAAGCCGTCTTTTGGCCAGTGAAGTGGCGAAGGCTTCCAGCGAATCCCTGAAGAGCGTCAAGGTGGAAGTTGGTTCCCTACACGAGTCCGTCTCCAGCCAGGCAACAGACAAGGAAACCTCCAAGACCATTGAAAGAGTAGAATCTCTGACCCACGCTGAAGATTCCCAAGCCTATTCAGAGGAATGCTCTTCCGAATCGATGGTTAGTGAAATACAAACCTCGACTCAAACCAAACAAAAGTCAGAAAGCTCTTCGATGTCAATGGCCGAAACTTCGGTGAAGGAGAGCCTCAAGCAGACGGTTGAAGAATTCCTGGCAACCGAAAAAATCATATCCACCAAGGAAAGCATGAGCACCCAGGAAGCACTCAAATCGAAGGCCGGAACATCGACAACCGTGACCACAACATTCTCAGACAGTCGTCGTGCGTCCGGCTTGAGCCAGGCCAGCGATGGACGCCAAACCCACAGTGATGTTGAAGACGAATCCGAGGATGACGAGGAAAAGGCCCACATCAAGGAGGGACGGTCCAAGTCATTTGCCAATATAATGACGACCAGCATTTATAAGCCATCCGAACAGGTTAGCACTGCAGAAACTCTCGAAGAAGAGGAGACTTTGGAGGAGACCCTGTCACAAATGAAGACTGCCTCAGTGCAAATGTCCATCAGCCAACAAAAGGCTCAGACGCTCACACAGAAAGAATCGCTGACATTGGCCCAGACCTATGAACATGAGTTGGCAGATCGCAAAACACCACCCACAGCTCCAGTGAGTCCCGGTATCATTAAGACTACCACCACCACGACCACTGTCGGTGGTGGTGCATCAGCCACAACTGGCACCAAGGTTGCCCTCACGGAGACCATCACAACAACCACCACTTCGGCACAGGTCGCTCACACTGGACCCCTGTCGCCCAAGGATATTAGCGGCAAATCAAGTCCAGGTGCATTGACTTCAGAGAGCCAATCGATACCAACGCCCATGGGTAGGGAATCGCTGACTGAAACCCCTGAATCCTCACCCAAGCCTACATCACCCTTCCCCAGGGTAACCAAGGAGGAGCTCTCCTCATCGACCGCCACATTTGGCAGCACAGAACAGCAGGTCGAATCCAGCACTGCAGCAACGGCCATGTCCGCAATGACCACATCCATGATGCGCAAAGACTACGAAACCCTGCCCGACCTGCACGAGGTGCGTGGCATCGAAAAGACAGCCGCACTCAGCGGCAGCACTGAGAAAATCATAACCACCACCATCACCACAGTGACCAAGGTCATCTCGGCCGATGGCAAGGAAATCGTTACGGAAGAAAAGACAATCACCACCACAGACTCCACAGATCCCGAGGGCGAAAAGGTCACGGTGACCACCACTCGCACCACCAGCGAAAGCGACAAGAGCGACGTGATCCTGCCCAAAGAAGTAGCCATGCTGCGAAGCATGTACCGTTCTTCCACGCCCGGCAGCGATGACACCAGCGACGACGAGGTGCCCGCCTCGCCACACTCGACCGGCTCGTTTGCCGGCGCCAGCAGCTACGATCTACAGCGTTCCGGCTCGGGCATAAGCAAACGTTCCGACTTTGAAATCGACGAGAGCCAAGATGACATACCACCCCAGTACGAAGAAGTCTCTGCCGCCCGATCAATTACCTCCAGCAGTCACTTTGCCCACAAGATTGTCGATCCAATGAGCACCTCATTCTACGGAGCACTGCCAGACTCATTCGATACCAAACCAACCTCCGCCACACAGCCGATAACCATTCAGGGCGCCACTCAGCGCCTACAAGACTTTGCCGAATCGCCCATGTCCCAGTCCTCGGGTTCGGTGGACAGCACCCGCCACACGGGCGGAGATATTAAATTCCTCGAGGAGGCGGAAATGGGATTCAAACAGGCGCTCAAGGAACACGTTGAGTTGCGGGGAGCCGACGTAATGTCCTCGGTCACAGCTAAATATTCCTACTCGCCCTCGAAGGCCGAAGAGGTGGAGCAAACAGTGAGCAGTGCCGAACAACCCAAATTCCCGCTGAGCAGCGTACAAAAACCCAAACTCTCCGATGGAGCAACCACCACAATGACCTCAGTGGAAACGACACAGGATGGTGATGGCAAGACCACCACCGTGACGACAACCACAACCACCAGCCAGACGACGGCCGGTGTGACCAGCCGCATAACCGCCACAGAAACCACAACGTCCAGCCAGTCCAGTTCCTCGACCACAGCCAGCAGCGTTGACGACAAACTCAAGGAGTGGGGCAAACCATTGGGCCTGCCCTCACCAGCTCCCATGGCGGCCGAGGGCAGTGGTGACGTTCGCACCACACCTAAGAAGGAGCGACGACTGATGGCCACAAAGACACGCCTGAACAATGAGAAGAATTTGCGCAAACGCTCCGAATCGCCCAGCAAAGCCAAGAAGCCCTCACCCGTCTACGTGGACTTGACCTATGTGCCACACAACGGCAATTCGTACTACTCGCACGTGGAGTTCTTCAAGAGGGTGCGAGCTCGCTACTATGTGTTCTCAGGTACCGAACCCAGCCGCCAGGTGTACGATGCCTTGCTGGAGGCCAAGCAAACCTGGGAGGATAAAGAATTAGGTGGGTATCGGTGAATGGGAGAGAGGGAGTGGAGGTTGTTTTTAATGTTTTTCTTTCTTTCTCCTTTTTTTGCAGAGGTAACTATCATTCCCACCTATGACACCGATGTCCTGGGCTATTGGGTGGCCGAAAACGAGGAGCTGCTTGCCAAATATCGCATTGATCTCTCGCCCTCGGCCTCACGGTGTACAATAAATCTCCAGGATCACGAGACATCTTGCTCCGCTTACCGTTTGGAGTTCTAGGCCACGGGGATGTTTGTAGCGTTTTCGGAAAATTAAGTTTCAAAATTCAGTTATCGTCGTGTACTAGAGACAACCAAAATAATACCAACAAACAACCAACCAACCAAACCAAAGCCAGTAGTAGTGTAATACTCTCTCTTTAAAAGAAAACAAAATTAAGAACAACAACAACAACTCTCATACTCACAACCAAAAAAAAAAAGGCTGCTGATGGCTTACGAAGACAAAACCAAAAGCTTTACTCACGACGGCGGAGCGGAGACGAAGGCAAAGCTTTTTTTCGTAATTACTCAGTTACTCAGACTCAGATACCCAGGCAAGCCAATAAAGCTTTTGGCGTGATAACAAAAGCTCTATTGTTGCCGGCTGCAGTTGCAGGTGCGAAGCTCACAGGTCCTTTTTTGAATTTCAATTTTGAATTTATTGTAAAACGAATAAGGCGGGGTTTTATGGCGGGCCGAATAGCGTGCAGCTCGTTTTTCTTTCCTCACGGATCGCTTATTTGTTTGTTTGCGTTTTATTTGTGCCAGAGGCCAAACAGACGAGAGAAGAAGAAGAAGAAAACGAACAGCAGACAACTTAAGGCTTAGATTATTTTCATTTTGGATTTAAGAATTTTGAGTTTTCGATTTTCATTTCCAAAAAAGAAAGAAAGAAAAAAACTATAAAACAAATAGAGCAGGGGCAAACCAAAAAAAAAAAAACAAAATGAATAAATAAAAGTGAAAAGAAAACAGAAAAACGAAACTATTTTCATGTAGTCACTTAGTAAGGTAATTTAAACTACAATAATAATAACAACAACAAAAAAACTCATTTTCAAATGTTAAAAAAAATAATAAACCAAAAATAATGCAAAATTTTCTATGTAACCCCCTTAAGACGAGCTAAGCCCCCCCAAAGAAGTTTGTAGTTTGAATTTTTATCATTTAACCAAAAAAAAAAAAATTCGAATCCAAATCAGGAAAAAATCAATCTAAAAATTAGCACCTCTAACGAACCAAAAAAAAAATGAGAATGGTCTAACCCCTCCCCCGACAAAAAAGAAAAGAAAAACAAACGATATTGAAATCTAAAAATCAAAACTTGTAAACCAAATAAATATATCTATATTCCGATTATATATAGAAACAAATGAATATAATGTATGTCTTTGAATGTGAAACAAAGTATTAACAAATTATATTATACAATTAACAAGAAGAAGAAAGAAAAACGAAAATCTCAAGTATATATATAAATTATTTGTCATTTTGAATTATTTATAACAATTTTCTTAAAAAAAATTAACTCAAAATATGTGAAAACCCCCGAGCCCCGAAAAAGTCATTAATTTTTTAACGACCGAATAACGCAACGAAATACTTTGAATATTTGAAGCAAGTCAAGGCATTTCTGTTCTCCCCTCAATTATGGCATTTACAGAGGATACAAAAGTCGATTCCAAAGATGACGTATACTTGGCGACAGTAATTATACGCCTCATGGTCCAATTGGCAAGAATACCGCTTCATATCTAATAATTAATGGACTAGGTGGCGTATACATGGCGGCAACAAGTATACGTAATAGCATTCCTACTCAAAATTTGTGAGAAGAGAGAATTGAGTGTCAGAAGGACTTTCTCTCCTCGTTTTCTCCTCTTTAAAAATTAAAAAAAAAAATATTCAAAATTAAAAACGGATTACTTTTTAAAAAAAAGACTCTTCAACTGGACGTAACATTGTCGTATTAAATTACGTGATGTATACGTAGCGTTGTAAATCACATCCATTGGGCCTTGTGGCGTATGCTTAACGACAAAAATATTTCATGCTATTGTTCCACATTAAGAAAGGAGCCCTGGAATAGATTGCAATTTTATCGGTATTGTATACGGTGGCGTATACATTGCGACAACGAGTATACTTATAGTGTCCCTACTCAAAATTTGTGGGAAAAGAGAGTTAAGTATTGGAAGGACTTTCTCTCCTCTATTTCTCCTCTTCAAAATTAATCAACTTTGTGAAAAAAAAAACATGTAAAACGGGTCACTTTGTAAAAAAAGAGTCTCCAAGTGAACGTTACGTCTTCGTATTCGATACGTGTTAATTACGTAACGCATGCGTAGCGGTGTAAATCACATACAGTGGAACCTGTGGCGTATACTTAACGACAACGTAATTCGGGCTAATATTCCACATTGAGGAAGGCGGCCTCGAATATATATTTTATCGGCATTGTATAAGGTGGCGTATACGTTGTGACATCCGTCATACATACCGTACTAAATATCTGGCGAAAAAAGAGGAATATAATGTCAGGATGACTTTCAAAGGAACTTATGAAAAATGGCTTTTTTTTGTATCCTCCATATTTGCGGAAAAAGAAGGTCCAAGTGTACCTACGGCAATATTTGCCAGAGCAGTTTTGACACCTGCGGCGTATACGTTGCGACAACAATCATACACAACAGAGTACCTTTTTTATCAAAAAATATCACTGTAACCGGCAAAGCGACTACCAAGACCCCTTTTCCTTTTGGGGAAGAAAAAGATCCAAGTGTATATATACCAATCGTAGCCAGGGTAGTTTGGAACCCTGCGACGTATACATTGTGACATCAGTCATACATACCAGTGTACCTTCCTAAATTTTGGCGAAAATGAGGATATACTGCCAGGATGAATTCTTAAAAGAAACTTATAACTTATAAGGAACTTATAAGAAATCTAAGCGTATCTATGCCAAACATTACAACAGTAGAATTGACCCTTGCTGCGTATACGTTGCGACAACAATCATACACACCAGAGTACCTTCTTTTGTCAAAAAAATATCAGTGTAACACGCAAAGCGACTTTCAAAATCCCTTTTCCTTTGGGAAAAAAGAGATCCAAGCGTGTCTATGCCAATCGTAGCCAGAGTAATTTGGAACTCTGCGGCGTATACGTTGTGACATCAGTCATACATACCAGTGCACTGTCCTAAATTTTTGGCGAATATACTGCACGAATGACTTCTTCAAAGGAACTTACAAGGAATGGCCTTTCCCTCATTGGGAAAAAAGAAGATCCAAGTGTACCTATAGCAATATTTGCAGAAGTAGTATTGAGAATTGCGGCGTATACGTTGTGACAACAATCATACACACCAGTGTACCTCCTTTTTTATAACAAATCATTAGAGTAAGTGGAAAAGCAACGTCCAAAATTCCTTTACCTTTTGGGAAAACGAGATCCAAGCGTATCTTTTCCAGTCGTAGACTGGGTATTATTGAGCCCTGCGGCGTATACTTTGTGACATCAGTCATACTTACCAATGTACCGTTCTAAATTATTGACGAAAAAGGGGGATGTGCTGCCCGGATGACTTCTTCAAAGGAACTTATAAGGAATGGCCTTTCCCTCGTTGGGAAAAAAAGAAATCCAAGCGTATCTATGCCAATCATGGTCAGGGTAGTATTGATTCCTACGGCGTATACGTCGTGACAACAATCATACACACCAGAGTACCTTCGTTTTTATCACAAAATATTAGTCTAACCCGCAAATCTACTTCCAAAATTGCCTCAAAATTTTGATTGTAGTTCATGTCGCTTCCAAACGCCTTCAACTAGAGGAGTCTTTTTAGGTCATAATCCGAATTTTATGCACTGCAATTTATAATGACTCAACCACTGGAGAGAAGAACAGAAATACCTGTATCGTTTTTTTTTTCAGCTAGTCCTGATATTAACGATCATCTAAGATCGACGTTCAAAAACAAATATTTCGGGGTGTTACAGACTTTAAAAAAATATATGTAACACAAGTTTTATATATTCTTTCTATTATAAAAAAATTAAAAAAAAAAAAATTTCTCTTTAAAAAAAAAATTTAATATTATTAATAATTGCTATTAAAATTATAATAATTAGTATAATTATTATAATTAAAATAAATTATTATAAATAAAAATTATTCTATGATATCTAAAACTCTCAAATATTTTTAAAAATTATTTTTTTTTTTTAAATTATTTTATTGTACGATTTTAAAAAATATTTTTACTTTTAGAAAATATTAATGAATTCCAACATTTTTCAAAATTTCTATACATTTTCTTATAAATTTATTCCAAGATATTTTTTTTTATAAATCATTTTGTTTTCAGATTTTAAAAATATTTTTACTTTTGGAAAATTTTAAAGAATTTCAAAATTTTTCAAAATTTCTATAAATTTTCTTTTATAACATCAATTAAGAAATATTAAAAATGATAAATAATTTATATATACATATAACTACTAATTTATAAAACTATGTAAAAACGACCCAGTCTTATTTTTTTTTTTTTTTTTTAAGAAGAACAAAATTAATTTCATTAATTTTAAAAATATTTCAAAATACTTCAAATTGAAAATGCAAAGTTTGGGAGCCCAAAAACATAAAAAGGCAAAATTCAAATAAAAACAGAACCCTAAATGATATTAAAAAAAATAATAATTAAAAATATTTGTTTTTTTCCCAAACTTTGCAAATTCAATTTATTATTTTCTTGAAAAAAAAAACTATTTATTTAAAACTAATTAATTAAAATAAAAACAAAGAAAAGTATTATTGCTGTACTTCAACAAAAGAAAAAAAAACTAAATATGTGTTGTTAAAATAACTACATAATATATTTAAAGAAATAAAAATAATAATAAATTGAAACATGAAATATGTGCCTCTCTCAAAGAAGAAGCCACGAATTTTTTTCTTATAATATTTAATATTTATTTATTTTATCAATATTTTTTTGTACTTATTTTATAAAAACAAAATAATAATTACCAAACTATTTAATATGTGTAATCATTTTGAGTTCCTTGATTTTTCAAATACATTAAAATAATAAAAACAAAAATATTTTTAATTTTTTTCAAACAAAAAAAGAAAACAACAAATAATTGGATTTTTATTATTTCTTAAGCTTTTTCTGAGCAATAAAAAAATTTTATGATTTTTGCATGAATGAAAACCAAAAAAAAAAAACAACAAATTGAAGAAAAGTGATGATGATTGAAGGGATTAAGGGGTAGTTAGTTATAACAACAAATAAACACAAACACAGCCTAGGACAACAGATTAAGAAGAGGTATTCCGAACATGGATTTTATTTTAGGAAAAACATAACTCACTCACAGGAAAGAGAGAACAGAAAATATGAAATAGTTTAGAAACTACTAATAGGACAAAACAATAAACATAAAGAACAAAATAAAAAACAAACAAACAAAATAATGTTAAAAACTTAAAAAAAAATAAATGTTTTTATGTTTTTAACATTAAATAGAAAAAAAAACATTTTTTTACATTTTTTCATAACAGCTTTCACAGAAATTGTTAAGGAATTAGAGATGAGAAGACATTAAAAAAACAAATAAATAAAAATTTTATCTTTGTCTTGGAGTAGGAAGGGAAGGAAACAGACAAATCTATTGCTAGCCACAAAACATGGAGAAATGCACCGAAACAAAAATAAATAATAAAACAACAATAACAACAACATAGCTTAAGTCCAAACAAATATACCAAAAAAAAATAACAAATACAAAAAGACACAACAAGTTATCATTAACCAACAACAACAAACGACAAAAGGCTTTTTAAAATTTAAACATTTTTTGCAGCTAACGGAAAGCGAACAAACAAATTTAGGTAACAAATTTAGAATTGAAATTTTATTAAAATACAAGAAACAACAAAAAAAATAACACAAAAAAAGAAAAATTAACGGAAGAATAATAAACACACAAACAAACCAAACAAACTGGCTACCGTCCAGTACAGAGTTCTCAGAGAGAATAAAAACAAACAGAAAAAGAGAGAGATAATTTCATGGCGTATA